ACTTGTTTCCCCATCTTCGTTTCTACTTGTCAACACCTCAAGGTTATCTGTCATATGTTTGCTTAATCTCGCTCGTAGTTCGTCTAGGGTACCGTCTGTGGGCAACCCTAGTTCAGCCATCTTTTTTACTATCTCTTCCTTTGATAGCGTATATATCATCCGCTTCATTTTTTCTTTCTTTTCTCTGCTTGCTTTTTAACCTGTTCGGGCGCCAATTTGTAACGCTATTTCGCGTTCGGAGCGAGATAAGCTGCGAGTCGGTGTGGTCCGGATTCGAGAAGATGTAAATAATTGTGAATACAGTGGGATGGATATTAAGATGATGTATATTGTCGATTAGATGGCTATGTACAATGAGTATTTACAGTTTGATTCGACGCCGTTAGTTTAGTGCGCGGGTTTTTGTGTTCGCGCGTGTTGATGTTCGCTACGGCGGAGCTCGTGCTGCGGGGCCGCTGGCGGCCGCGGGACGCGGGCGGTCGCGTGACGCGTCGATTGTGTTGTGCTTGCGGCGCGATGTTGACGCTCGGATCTTTAATTTTGGTCGCGCGAGAAGAGCCGTTACTCGAGGAATAACACGGCCCTGCGTGCGTGATGCGTCGGAGTTTTTGCGGAGCGGTTGTGCGTTACGATGCGGTGCCGCGGGGATCGGTTCCCCGGGACGGCGGCGCGGCTTCGCGGCGATCAACTTTACGAATCCAATAAGTCGACGGGGCGGTAATCAGGGATGTCGACTTTACGAATCCAACAAGTCGACGGAGCGGTATCGAGGGTGTAGGCTTTACAAATCCGACAAGTCTCCACGAGTGTCGACTCTACGAATCCAACGAGTCGACGGAGGGGTAGTCTGTGCGAATCGGATAAGTCTACGTGGAGGTCGACTTTACGAATCCAACAAGTCGACGGAGCGGTAATCAAGGATGTAGACTTTACGAATCCAATAAGTCGACGGAGCGGTAATCAAGGATGTAGACTTTACGAATCCAATAAGTCGACGGAGCGGTATCGAGGGTGTAGGCTTTACAAATCCGACAAGTCTCCACGAGTGTCGACTCTACGAATCCAACGAGTCGACGGAGTGGTAGTCTGTGCGAATCGGATAAGTCTACGTGGAGGTCGACTTTACGAATCCAACATGTCGACGGAGCGGTAATCAAGGATGTAGACTTTACGAATCCAATAAGTTTACGCGGATGTCGACTTTACGAATCCAATAAGTCGACAGAGCGGTATCGAGGAATGTAGACTTTACGAAATCGACACGACGACGGAGCGGTGACGAGGAAGGTCTAGGATGCGGTGTTCTAGGTAGCGGTGTTCGCGAGGTGCTGCTGCTGTTGGAGCCTTAGCTCTGTTTATCGGAGTGCCTCGGAAGACTGCTCTATTTTCGGTTTTTCGCGCGGTCTTTTATACCAAATTTTAGCCTGCTCTAGTGTTGTGTTATTCGCGGTCGGTCGGCGGTGTTTACATTAGTTTGTCGTGGGTTCTGTTTTCGTATATTTGATGAGTCGTTTCGTATATTTGATTTCAACGTTTTCGCGGTTCCTTCTATCTTTGTATTACGGATGGCTCGTTACATAGTTACTCGGCAAAGATGAATTTGCTGGCATGACAAATTTTATGCTATTGTAGTAAAATTTGTCAGTTATTATATGGACAGCAAAGAGACTTGTACTAATTGCTATTTGTTGGATGCAATTTTGCTTAATTTACAAATTATTTTTTCATTAAAACATTTTTACTATATTAAAGTTCCTTGTACCTTGCCGGTTATGTCGGACTTGTGACATCAGAAGCGAGGAATAACACGCTGACAAAAGGTGCGTACCATTTCTGAATAAAGATAAATATGATGAAAATAAATATAAAAACACACGTAATTTAACTCAACCTATGATATGATGAAAATAGAAATAGTCAAAAACTTAAAAAAATATTATATAAACTCCAACAACATATAACATCTTCAAAAAAATTCTGAATACATCTTGAATATTCTTGAACACATGCAGAATATATTCAGGATATATTTCTTTTATTTCAGATATATATTGTTACATACCGAGGATTTCGGTACGTCTTTTTTCGCATTGCCCTTTTCCTTTCTTTTTTCCTTTTCTTTTTCATTGTGCACTTTTCTCTTTTATATTTCTTTCCTGTAGTGCTCTCTTTTTTCCTCGCCCCCCCCCCC